GATGGAGGGGCGGGTTTGTTTCCAGAAATGGATCCCTGGCGGTTCTTTAAGGAAAGGTTTCGGGGGGGCACTGGTATCGGTTTGGCTCTGTGCCTTAGCGCCGAGCAGGGCTGAGGAGGGAGCACCCCGGGCAGAGCACTGTCCCACTCCGCTCCCCCAGCCCTTTAACCTAGTGCATGATGGATGGAGGTTACAGTTTAGCTGGTGATTGATGTCCCGTCCCTTCCGAGCCAAATGACTTGGACTCCGGCCTCGCCTCCCGCTGTGGGTTATGGTCAGGTGTCTGCCTGGCCTTTTTTTAAGGGGAGGAAAGGGTTACGGAGGCAGGAGAGACACAGGCGGCAGCAGACACCTCGCTTGGTTCTGCTGCCTGTGTGGAAAGCTGTGGACGGACCTGCTGTCCTTGTTGGGTTTCCAGCAAGGTCTCTTGCAGCCCCTCTCTGTTCCCTTTTTATGAAAGGGACAGTAAATCTTGATGACAGACCTGAATGCCTCTACAACTAGGTCTGTACTGAGACAATTTTTTAAACATATTTGCTCATGTAAAATACATCAGCTCTGTAGTTTTCCAGAGCTGCCTGGGGATCTGGAGATCCATGCTGGGGGACCCGGAGGACAGGTGAGAATTTTGGGGCATGTGGGACATGGTGAATGGTGTCCCCTGTGTGATTGCTTGGCAGACTTTTCTGAGTGGTAAATCAAAGAAGTTGGCAGTATTTTCTGTTCCTCTGTTAGGGCCTGAGCTTGCACAGGGCAGGGCATCCCCATGTACCAGATAAGTGAATGTGTGTTTAGCACTTTGCAGATTCAGGGCGTGTGTGTTAGTATACAAAAACCCTACTTAGTCCTTTAAGTAAGGTTTTCTTTGGCCTCATGGCTTCCTTATTGCTTACAGAGCTCTTGTCTTTGGAGAGATTTAACTTTCCCGGTTAGCAAGTTGTTTTCCTTCCCATGGGCCTGATCTTGGGGAGCACCGGGCACCTGAAACTCCCCTTGCAGTTAGGGGGCCTGATTCTCCTCATGCTTAGCCTGATTTTTGCACAGGTGAAACTGTGGATTTCAGGGAAATTGCTCCTGCTCTGCCTTGTGGAAGTGAAAAGAATCGGACCCATGTCTTTGTGCAGTTCGGAGACTTTGTGGCTGTTCTGCTTATCTCCTGGGTCTCTGGATGCTGTTTTGTAACAAATCAGACTAGAATACAATAGGCCCATGCTTTGGAAATTTGAAATGTATCTTTATTGAGACGATGTTATGGGAAGGACGTGAGAACTGCAGGACTGACAGTGAAGATCATTCCAAGTTTGCATACTAAATCTGTAAGCTCCATTACTGCTCAGAACCCTTGCAACAGCAATCTTTATCATATCCCCCAAAAGTGAACCAGTCTGTTCCAGGACATATCACAACTCCTTATGTTCCTTAAGGTATTCAGAAGCAACTGAATGGCTTAGAAGCACTAGTCCCATTGAAAATCAGTGAGTCGTTCGCTCCTATGTAACTCTCCTGAAGATTTCCTCTCCTCTGGGACCCTCAGGGATGTCTAATCTCTTGTCTTTGCACAAATGGCACTCCCACTAACCCTGAAAGAGGCTGGTTTGGCGCTTCAGTACCCCCTGGATTTGATTAAGAGCTTTGCAAAGCCATCCACATCTTTATGTAGTGAATCTCCTTGTGTGATGCTCAGTAGCACTCATGGTTTTTTTTAATACAACACTGCCTCGCACCCAAATATGTCCGTTAAATAACTTATTTTTATTTAAGTCACTTAATCCTTTCCTGTCTCTCACGGTGGGATGTCTGGCATATCTCACTATTAATTAGAAACCATTGTATTTGCGTGGGTGCTCATTTGTACTGTATTTCAACGGCTGCCTTTCTCTGCATTTCCCCCTTACTTCACTGCCTGTCTCAGGCTATGTCTAGACTACAAGCCTCTTTCGAAAAAGCGTCTTTCGAAAGAGAGCATCTAGACTGCAACCACTTCTTTCGAAAAAGCAAGCCGCTTTTTCGAAAGAGAGCACCCAAGCAGTCTGGATGCTCTCTTTCGAAAAAGCCCTGTTTGCATTCAATGAGGTAAAATGAGGTTTACCATGGTCGAAAAAACTGCCGTCTTCTTTTAATTTAATTTTGAAAGAACACAGCGGCAGTCTAGACACAGGGGAAGCTTTTTTGAAAATAGGCCACTTTTTTAGAAAAATACAACAACCCTGTAGTCTAGACACACACTCACTTAGCTAATTAAAGCTAACTCTTTTTTAACTTATTTATTTGTAACAATGTGAGAGGCCTTCCAACTAGTCTTCTTTCTGCTCTCCTTCCTTTTTCCTTCTCCTCTCTTGGAGTCATGTGTGTACGTCTGTGTGTGCCCACACTAATACCACCCCAATCTCCTGAGGTCCTTGGTCTCTGGAGTCCTTCCTGCATCAAAAAGTTGCTATCAGACAGTACTTGATGCTGACAAATGCTTCCATTTTGGGTCAGGTTATTTAGAAAGTTGGTGCCGACTTGAATCCTCTGTATTCCTTGACCCTTTTCCCTGGGGAATGGCACAGATTATGCTGGCTTTGTTGGTGATTGTCTGCCATTGTAGTGATGGGCAAAAGTCACATGCCCATGCTGCTTCTGTCAGCAGTCCTTGCCCATCTTTTTGGTTAATACATCTGCTCAGAACTTGGAGCTATTTATTCCTACCCCCACGCTTGCCTCATTCACATGCCGGGTAGATGCAGGTTCTGTGGTCTTGTGTAATAAAGGGATGTGATGCACAGAGTTTCTTCTCTGATGGTCCAAATTGCAGTGTTAGTGTTTGCTTTAGTTAGTTGGGATACTGATCCATATCATCAGGAGCTAACTGTGGTCTTGCTGTCTGAGCTGAGCACTGAGGCTGCATCTACACTGCAGGCTTCTTGCACAAGAACTTCTTGCAAGAGCGCATCCACACTGCCATGTGCTTTTGCGCAAGAGAGCGTCCACAGTGCCATGGACACTCTTGCGTAAGAAAGCTCTGATTGATGGCCACTCTGTGAATGGCAGAGCACCTCTGCTTTTTCTGATAGGGGTTCCTTGTGCAAGAAACCCCTGTTGTCTGTCCACACACGCCTTTTTGCGCAAGAGCTCCTATGCAAAAAGGCTTATTCCTCGTAGAAAGAGGAATAACTCTTGCGCATAAAGCCCTGTCTACTGTACTTTTTCTTCTGCAAAAACGCACTTGTAGTGTGGATGCACTGCAAGTTTTTTTGTGCAAAAACTCTGCAGTGTAGATGTAGCCTGAGAGAGGAACTCAGGTCAGAGTTTTGTCTTCACTTATGGGGTTTCCCCTATTTTCTTCACATAATAGGATGTTGTAGGATCCTAATAGTGGACAGAACTTGAGTTAAAGAGGTGCATGCATACACACACCCGCACACACACCACTGCCCCCTCTGCTGCCATTGTTCTGTCTCTTGCCACCTGAAAACTGTCCATCAAATACAGGCTCCTGAAGAAGAGTGAGATCCAAGCTTCTGGGTGGGGGGTGTGCGGGAACAAACACCAAATTTGTGTGTGGTCTCTGCAGCCCGGATGTACCAGCTGCATTTCCAAGCTGTTTGCTGAGCTTTCTAGCTGCCCTCTGCTTCTTAATGTCTCACGCCACAGTTTGCATTTCAGTACTGGGGCTCCAATAAAACAGTGCTTGAAAACTGGGAACAGACGTGAAATGGTAGGAATGGTGTTATGATCTGTCTCTGGTTGGCTAGGTGTTTTACCTCTCACTTCAAGGATTGTGAAAAGTGTCAGGTCAGTAGAGTTAGAGGGGAAGGTTTAGTGGCATCAGCATCTAGTATGAAATTCTTAGCCGCCCTAGAACCTCAGGCTTCAAATCTCAACTGGATCGCTTAAACCTTTCATCTTTTTTTTTAAAACATTCCAGGAAATAGTCTTTATATCAGTCAGAGAAGAACTTAAAAACCAACGACTTCTAATTTATTCTGGGTGCATGATAAATATCTAAGATAGGTAGAGACCTCCCTTCTTTATATGTGACCTTGGCACAGATGGGGAGAGCGAGAGTCTACTCAGAATACTTGGCTACCCCTTTCCCTCTCTCCTAGCATGCACAGCATGCTGTGAGCTAGTAGGTTGCCTTGTCTTTCTCAGAGGTGGCTGCATTGCGTTAGTGCTGTCCCTATAAACTACAGATCTGGATCTAGCCTCTCTAAGACTCCTGCTCAATCTAGGAGTGTGATTGTTGAGCTCCAAAGAAATGTGCCAGCCAGCCTTTCTGTACTGGAGGAAGGTGGCAGCCAGGGAGGGCTCCGTGAAAGGGGGGTATGAATGGCTTTCTTTCCTTTATGAGAGGAGGTGAGAACAGTGACTTCTTGCTGGGCCCATCTCTCCCTCCTGCACGTTGATGGTCTCTCTGCACAGCTGTTGACAGTGCTGATGAGGCTAAACTGCACCTACTCTGCTCAAGCGGAGACTTGTGCTCAATTGTGCAGTCAATTGGAGCTCAGGGAAGACAACAGGGGTGCCCAAGAAGGGTATCGACCAGTATGGGCTTAAGTGCTCTGGGGTCAGCTGCTGAAGCTGTCTCTGGGGCCAAACTACTTGTGAGGCTTGCAGGTGGTAAGCCAGGGAGTGTTGGCTGTGCTGCTGAAGACTCTGCAAAAGATTGGGGCAGGAACTTTGGGGGAAAAAAGTGGAGTAGGGGCAGGGCCTCAGAGTCTGGTTGCCAGCTATTAGAAAGATGGTAACCCTAATAATAGCACAGGATTGCCAGCCTTCATGGTTTCAAATATCTGACCATAAAGATCATGTTTAATTTAAAATCGCTTTTTTTCTACATGTATGCATTCAAGGAGCCTATCCCATCTCCTAACAATTGGAGCATGTGAACGCTCCTTTTTCTTTTCCCTCTCCTTTTGTCCGTTTTTAAAGGCATGTTAGAAAAAAGAAGTGTCTTCTAAAAATCAGTTTATTCCAGTCTGAGATTAAAATGCCTTAATTATAATCATATGGTTATTGCATGGTGTTACTACACAGCTGAATAAGATTGTGTAGGTGCCCAAACTGTGCTTCCATATCTTAACGTGTTCCTAGGGTTGCCAGGCATTCCGTTTTAAAGCACAATGCCCAGTCAAAAAGGGACCCTGGTGGGTCTGGTCAGCACCACTGTGCGGCTGGTCCCAGACAGGCTGGGTGTGGGAGGGAGTTTAGAGTGTGGGTGCTGGGCAGCGTTCACCTCCAGCACGTCAGAAGAAGTGGTAACATGTCCCTGTGGCAGACGGAGCCAGGAAGGCTACACCTGTTGCTTCTGAGTGTTGGCTCTGCCCCTACAGCTCCCATTGGCCGTGATTCCCAGCCAGTGGGAGGGTGGAGCTGGCACTCGGTGGCAGTGCTTGGAGCTTCCCTGGCTGCCCCTGCTCCTAGGAGCCTCAGGGCTTGTAATCGTTTCCCAGGAGGTGAGTGAGGAAAGCACTGCCTGGAGCCTACACCACTTCCTGCACCCAAACTCCTTCTTGGAACCCTAACTCCTTTACCCCTGTCCAGAGCCCCTCACCCTCCCATACCCCAACCCACCACCTTCATCTGGAGCCCCCTCCCTTATTTCTGGCCTCACTCAGAGGCCACACCCACAGC